CCCACACAATCAAATGCCCTTATGTAGTCACACAAATATACATTGTATATATTTTCCTGGTATTCTTTGCTTTCGGCCAAAATGTATCTGAAACCAGTAATGACATCCCTCATTCCACATTCTCTGCTAAATCAGGCTTTAATTTCTGGTAGTTCTTTATTCATATATTTCTCGAATTGTTTTTTTCATTATCTTCAGCCAAAGTAGACTTTCATTTGATATTAATTACATTGTTTAATAATTTCTACATTCTGTTGAATCACCTTTCTTTGGAACGGGTACAAATAGGAATCTCTAATGAGTACTCATATGGTTGCATCAATTTATTGAAACATTTCCTTTGGTATTCTGTCAAATCCTCAAGTCTTCTTTTTCTCCAATTCCTCTTCCATGCTGGAACTTTTTCCTTTAATACCATCGATTTTAAAAACACGCTACCTCTTGAAATGGTTGGTTCCTGACCTTTCGGGTATGGTGACTCTGTGTATCATTTCCATTTCTTTTCAATATTTCCTACATAATTCGATATTTTGTCCATGTGGTTGTTGTTAAGTACCACTGAGTCCATTCTGACTCACAGCGACCCTATGTACAACACAAACACTGCCTGGTAACCCTCCATCCTCACGATTGTTACGTTTGAGCTGTGTGTTGCAAACTTTGTGTCAATCATCTTGTCTCGTGTCTTCCTCTTTCTCGATGCCCCTCTTTTTTACCAAGCCTGATGTCCTTCTCCAGGAACTGGGCTCTCCGGGTAACATGTCGAAAGTGCACGCGATGAAGTCTCACCATCCTTGCCTCTGAGGAGCGTTTGACTGTCCTGCTTCCACGACAGATTTGTTTGCTCTTTTGGCAGTCCACGGTACTTCCAATATTCTTGGCCAGCACCACAACTAAATGCATCAATTCTTCTTTAGTCTTCCTTGTTCTGTGTCCAATTTTCACATGCCTATGGGGTGATTGAAAATATCAAGACATGAATCAGGTGCACCTTGCTTTTTAATACTTCAAAGAGGTCATTTACGGCAGACTTACCCAATGAAACTCATTTTATCTCTTGATAGCTGTTTCCTTGAGCATTGATTGTAGATTCAAGTAAGATGAAATTCTTGACGATTTCAATCTTTTCTGTTTATCACCGTGTTGCCTACTAGTCCAGTTGTGAGGATTTGGGTTTTCTTTACATTGAATTGTAATCCAGATTGAAGGCTGCAATCTTTGATCTTCGTCAATAAGGGCTTCAAGTCATCCTCACTTTCAGCAAGCAAGATTTTCATTTTCATATCAAAAGTTGTCCGTGCATATTGTAACTTGAAGGTTCAATTTTTTCTCAGTACTTTTAGCTTGAGATATGCTGAACATGTCTTTCTTTTTTTGGTTTTCAATTACATGTGATTGCCAATTTCATTACAATTCTTTACTTTGTCTTCTTGGGCTGCCTTTTGAAATTTTCTTCATCGTTTCTTCTATTTGCTGTAGTTACTCTGTGTTCAAGATCAAGTTTCAGAGTCTCTTCCGATATCCATTTTGGCTTTCTTGTACTTTCCTGTCTCTAAATGACCTCTGGATTTCTTTAGATGTGATGATCTTGATGGCATCCACAAGCTGTCTGGTTTTCGGTCATTCATTTAAAATTTTGAGTTAACGTTTGTGACTGATGTAAGTTCTATATTTAGGTTGATTAGGTTTTTAATGGATGTGCAATTGTCTGAATGTCCGGTACTATTTTTGAAAAGACTCTTTCTTCATTTGAATTCCTTTGCTCCTTTGTTAAAGGTTAATTGTTTGCAGGGCTATTTCCGAGGTGTCTACTTTCTTCTTTTGATATATCCAGTACTACCCTCTTTAGATTACTGTACTTTACAATAATATTGAAGGATGCAGGAACAGCAAAGAGGATGAAAGGAATACACAGAATTATAGTTCCAAAATTATTTGGTTCATGTTCAAGAATTTCAGGAGGTAGCATATGATTAAGAACTGATCATAGTAAAGGAAGACATCCAAGCTGCACTGAAGGCACTGTGACAAACAGTGCCAAGGAATTGACAGGATACCAATTGAAACACTCTAGCAAATCGATTTAGAACTGGAGAGAAGGATTCATCTATATCATACATTTGGAAGACAGTTAACCTGGCCAGTTAACTAGAAGAAATCCATATTTGTGCCCATTCCTAAGAAAGGTGGCTCAACAAAATGAGGTAATTCTGAAACAATATCATTAATGTCATATGTAAGTAAATTTTGTTGATGATAATTTAAGAATGATTGTAGCAGTACATCAAAGAGCTATCTGAAAGTCAAGCTGTATTCAGAATAGGATGTGTAATGAGGGTTATCACTGCTCACAATAGACGGATTGACTGGAAGTAGAAAATACCAGAGAGATGTTTACTTGTGTTTTCTTGACTATGCAAAGGCATTCGACTTTGTGGATTATAACAAACTATGAAAAATATTGTGAAGAATGCAAATTGGAAAACACTTAATTATTTTCATGTAGAACCTGTCTACAGACCAAGAAATAATCATTCAAGTAGAACAAGAAGATAAAGAGTGGTTTAAAGCCAGGAAAGCCAGAGTTGTATCTTTTTACCATACTTATTAGATCTGTTTGCTGAAAAATAATCCTAGAGGCTGACTGTATGCAGCATCGGGATTGGAGAAAGACTCATAAGATATGTGCAATATGAAAATGGCACACCTTGCTTGCTGAAGGTTAGAAATCTTGAAGCACTTACTAATGAACATCAAAGGCTACAGCCTTCTGTGTGAATTATACCTCAACATAAAGGAAACAGACATGGTCACAAATGAACCAGTAAACAGTATCATGACAATGGAGAAAAGATCAGAATTGGCAAGGAATTAATTTTGCTTGGATCTAAAATCGGCACCTGTGAAAGCGGCAATTAAGAAATCAAGTGACATATCGCACCGGGAAAATCTACGGGTAAAAAGAAGAAAAACGAACAAAACCTCAAAAATGTTAATAAGAAAAATACCACTTTGAAGGCTAAGGTGTGTGTGACTCAAACCATGGTATTTCCAATCGTCTCATATGCAAAAGCAGACAATGAAGAAGAATCAAAGAAGATTAATGCATTTGAAACCTAGGTGTTGG